CCCCGCGAATTTTCCCCGCGTCGCCGTCGACGCTGTGCGTCGTAATCTCCTGGAAGTTTGTAAATTTCCACCTCGTCGCCGGCACTTCCATAACGGCGCGCTTCGATCGTCGTCGCTGTGAGAACGTTTCGTTCGCGCGAACACACGCTCAGCGCTTTACTCAGTTGTTGCGATTTTCTGTCTGTTGCAGTTCACAATGCGCTAGGGGTGATGGAGACAGTGGGCAAGCAAGTCCAGGTAGTGAGTGGATTGGGGGTGGGGGGTCCGGTGGGTCCTGTGGGCCCAGTGGGGGGTGAATTGCATCACCATCATCACCCTCACCCCCACGCCCACCCTTCGCATCCGCAGTCCCACCTCCACCCTCACCCCCATGGCTCCCATGGCCACTCGCTCGTCGGTGCTACGTCGAACCCCGGCAGGGGTCAGGCCCAACCACCGACCTCGCATAACCAACACTTACCGGCGAGGTCCACCCCCATACCGTTGCACAGGTAAGTCCCGTCTTTTTTCTTCACGCACGCTCGTTCTTCGAGCGTTATCCAGCGATGGTGACGAAGGAAGCCTCTAGAACAGGGGAAGGGGACATTTTAATGTCGCTTTTCCTTACGCCACTATTGTACGTGGACCCGTAAGACAGCCTCGCACAACGAAAAACATTTTATTCTCCTCGGCACTTGCCGGAGAAAGCATGGGGAAACTCGCTCGAGGACTCGCGCTGGTAATACACTTGAGGAAGGAAAGCGCGGAAAAGAACCCCGGCTGGGGAAAGGGTGCGGGAGATCGCGTGTCAAAATTCTAAAGGGACACAGACACACACAGAGTGTGAGGGTGGTTCGCGCGACGACGCGTTATACATGGTGAATAGCCGCGGAATGAAAGCTGATACGACGACCGGCGGCGTAGCAGACGACGTAGCGTAGATCTCGCTCGCCCGCGTACGTATGTATTTTAAGATAGAAAGGACAAAGTTCGACAACGACGGCTAGCAACGTACGTGGGGAAGGAAAATGGGAGAGCGGAGGACAGAGAAAGGCGGAAAGAGAGAGAGAACGCACGACGGCAGCAGGTACCAGGCAGTATCCTTTAGCCATACGAGATGGCCTGTCTGAGCAGCAACGGCCTTTGAAAAAAAGTTGAAAAATGCCCACTCCTAAAACGTCCGTCTGACAGGCATGCTACCGCTATGAAAATCCGACTTACGTACATCTACCTACCTAGCTATCTACCCGCCTACCTACGCCGAACATCCGAGCTCGCGAGCCTGTGTGTTGGCGAACAACCCGTCGAGATAATCGGTGGTTTCGTCGTAGATTCATCGCCCGCAGGATGCGTCCGCGTTCTTCTTAAACACGTTATCGCGAAGCCTCGCAGCGATGAAGACTTTTCACTCGGCCGGGCTTCCGCTTGCGTACGGTATTCCGTTACACGGTAATGATGACGGGCGTAAAAGTCGTCGTGCTGGTTATTTCGAAGAACTCCCGTGTTGTTCCTCCCGTGGCCCTCGTAATTGCGACTTTTCGCACAGTCGGTGTTGTTGAGACTTCAGTAAAAGGAATTATTACTAGAAGATTCGGTTTCCAAGGGAATTGGATCGAATTTGGAAACATTACGACTGAGTGCAGTTTTCCTCCCACCTTCCGAGTACGCAAAAGTGTGAGGGGGGAAGGGGTGATATTAACGTGACACTTCGCGACGCTTGTTGTATATATTGATATTGTAGTTGATGCGATGACGCTAGGTCGTGTCTCGACAAAATATCGTCGATTGGAAGCAACAGATGTACGTATACATCAAGTCGTGTCGTTCGCGATGACGAATGGGTCTATACTTTTTTGCAAATATGTCGAAATATTTTCGGCGATTCCGGATGTACCAGTGTGTCTTTCACGCTTGCGGATAATCGGTAAAAAAATCATCAACATCGTCCAAGGTCGAACAAAGACTTTAATTACACCTATTAAAATAAATCTTCGAGCAAATAAGCTTGCCGAGAGAAACAAACAATTGAATAGATCCGTTCGATGTGCTGACAGCTGCAGTATAGGTTTAAATAAATTTAAGATACAGGTGCTTTCGCATCGTATCATTGTTTATTTTTTCTAAAAAGTTACATCCTTCACCTTTAAAAGTTGACTATTTCTTTTATACAATACAATACGCGATTTTATAAAAAAAAAGTGTATTTTTTTTAAACAAATAGTGTTTTTGTGATTAAGAAAATTAAGAAATTTCTATTCGGACTTTTCCGAAAATTAACTTTTTCTTGAACCTTTAATCGTAATTACAATAACACGTGTGCCTTCCTGACATTCTGACGTTCAAATTAAGTAGAAATATATTTAAAGAATATCCATTTTCTGAAGGGTTATTAATAGTTAAAAGTAACCGGGTGTTATATATCCAGTGTAGTGAAATCTCGGATCTCGCAGGAAGTGTGGGATGTTCTAGGTTTAATATTACAGTAAGTTTTCATTAAAATCCTAAATCCGGTTTAGAAGAAGTTAAAAATAGAGGTTGAAAATAGAACATCAATCCCAAGGAATACGTATAAAAAGTTTCATTTTTAGTTGCGAGTATCTTTCGTTAAAAAATATTTCCCATACATTAATCATGTATAAATATACATAATTATGTATAATTATACTAAATTATGTATGAAATTTGTTTCAAATTTGTTTCCTTACTACTTAACGCTGTCCGGTGAATTTTGATCATCTTAGCATTCCAATTCTTCGTAGGGCAGATCGAAAAAAAATTGGATCACGGGGAGAATCGGGTCAGTATAAGTTTTGAGACAATTGCTAGATTTGTTTCGAACAAGTTGTTTTATTGTACCAGTTACCACCGTGTGCTTCCTCCGCACTTATTTGAAATAAAAAACTAACGACACGACTGTCTCAAAGCTTATATTGATCCGATTCGCCGTGTGACCCAATTCGCTCCCGGTCTACCCTACATTCCGGTACTCATTATTACATACGTTGTTCTTAAGCGAAAGTCGGACAATTAGTAGGACCCTCTGTATAATACGTCATAGGGGAAGAATTCCACCTACTCGTTAGGACATTTTCAATGTAACGATTTTCAAACATAATTTTGCCATGCTTTTATTAGACAGACTGTAATGCGCGGTAAATCTTAAAACAATTCGAACTTTCTTTTTTTTTTTTAAACGTGGCCAATGGGCAGTAAGAATATGTTTGTAAGAAGTATGAGTAAGAAATTAATCAATCAGTCGATTATTCTCCTTACATTCGAATATGATTGGTCAATTTCTTATTCTTATTCCTTATAAATAGACTCCTACCATCGACTTTATACAATTTATTTAAAAAGAACGGATCCCTTTCATTGGACTATCGTTCCGAGATGCATGAAAAAAAGTGTTCAAACTGTTTTCAGACTTGCATCTCATTCCGTACCGTGTTTTTCTTTCTTTTAAATGTGTTTTCGGTCGCGCGACTGTCACGTTCGACGAATAAACACTCAGCACTGGGCGCGAATCTAACCTAACATATCGGCGCAGGCGAGTCGCACGTTGTCGTCGGGCGCACGCGCGAGCACCATTTCTGCTACCTGTGCGATTTATAACCTCAAACGTCACGTGTGAGATTACTGATCTCTCGAATCTCCCGATCGCGATTTTTCCGAGAGAATCCGCACGCTGAAGAAGTGTATCGAGTTGAGTGATCGCACCGAGGTTTGAACGGGCGTACGTGCATGATAATAATCGTCGGAGATCGTGGAGATCTGTAACCTTTTTCGTGGAGCGCTAAGAATGCACAAGGTGAAAGGACGATGTATCCGCCCAAGAGACAAAACTATGATGCATTCGTACAAACCAAGTAAGTCGTTCAAATTCCTCTTGTCCGACCGACGCGGACAATGATGCTTCCTCCAGATTTCTCTGTCGTTGTCTGCGTCAACTTCCCGAAATCTCTGCAACCTAACCTTAATTTACCTGTTCGCCGAGTTTCACGCCTCATTGTTGATCCGACGTTCTTTGTTTCCTTTATTTCCTACATTCCCTGTGCAATAAATACCAAGCAGCACTAATATCGTATCGATAGTATAATTTACCGTTTGACAATGTTACAATATGCGTTATATTGCCTTTACATTGTTGACTGAGAAATTGTAACATCGATGTACCGTTACTTACGTAACGGCGCGTTTACTGGCTCCCAACTCCTCCTGCTTTCCTTCTTCCGAGTCTCGCTCGCTCGCTCGATCGTATCCTCGTTTCATTTTCGAGCGCATGTGAGACTGCGACGCATCACGGTGTGCAACCGTGAGAAACAGAAGGAAACATCATGGCAGGTCCACGGGTAGAGCATGCACGCACTTTCCTGTGGATGGAAATTCATCACGAGCAACGGGGCCCCGTCGTGACGTGCACTCGTTCGACGGTTCGAACACTTATTTTTTTACGTGCCCGACGCGTCTAAGGAGAAAACGTGATCCCGTGGATCTCGTGAAAATCATTTCAAAACAGAGGTTCCGCAGTTGAACGCCGGCTGCGAAATGCGTTGGAGAAAACGCGTGCTCAGATCGTTTGTGCGAACGCGCGAGTGTGAAATCGTGTCGCAACGTGCCAGCTTTAAGTACGACGATCGCCGGCTCATCATCGGACGTTCTCAGTCGAATGTGGTCTTCTTCGTTTAAATCGAGCGTCGAACGATCGAGTTTCGGATGGGAGTGATGAGCCCTCTTCGCCGTCCGAAACGAGCGAGGACGGCGCGACACGAGAAGACGGCGAGGTTAGGTTCGCCGGCGAATGTACACTCGCTTGTGAGCAGTGAGAGAGAGAGAGAGAGAGAGAAAATAATAGGGCGATAACAGAAGTTTGTGTTTTTTAACCACGAGGAGAGATCGAGAAAGAGGAAGAAAAGGGGGAGAGGAAGTGAAAAGAAGAGCGCGTGAAAAAAAAAAGAGGGGGAAAGATCTACTGACACACACAAGATTATCCGTGTGTTTGTCCGCGATATATCGTATAAGATAACGTTGATAACTCGGCCTAAAGCCGACCCCTCGCGAATAGTTCGCCCTTCATTACGCAGCACGTACATTTATGACATTGCGAGCGCATAACAATAGTAGATATATATATACACGCGCGGCTCAATGTCTCGTAAATAAATCGAGAACGGCGCTCGGGGAGATGGAAGAAATAGTATCATGAAATATGCATGTGCGAAATATGTTTAGGCGGGAACACTCGCGCGCGTAAGCCCAATGTTCCCTGTCCTCCCTCCCTCCCTCTCCGCATCCCTATTCTTTTAGCGGCGAGAGGAAATGGAACGACCGTGAAAATATTCAAGCGCTCGACTGAGCGAAAAGTTTCCTCGTTTCGCGTGAATTCTATATTAATTTGAACGGTACTAATTCCCAAGCACCAAAGTCGTACACCGATGACACATGAGACCGACTGACATGTTTTTAAGGAGAGACGTCCGCAAGGAACTTTCCGTCCAAATCCTGCTCGAGATTC